GATTAATTTGTTTGTACCATCATTAATACTAGTATTACTGCTGCTGCTATTACTTGTCATGTTCTCTTTCTCCTTATTCTTATCTTTAATCGTTTCCTTTTTTATTATGACCATTACTACTGATATTTTTATTACTGTTGTTATTGTCATTATCATTATATCTATTATTTTTTATCATAGTTACTATTATTATTGTTATTATTACTCTTATTCTTATTCTTATTCTTATTATTATTTCTATTATTATTACTATTATCCTTATTATTATAATTATCATTATTTCATGATCCACATTATTGTTTTCTTTCATTATTATTGTTATTATCATCAGAGCTATCATTATGACTATTAATAATACCAATGTTATCATGACCATTATCACATTGTCATCATCACGATCGTTATTATCATCATTACCCCAATTCTCAACAACAACAAAAGCAAAAACGAAAGAGAAACTGAAAATAAGAAAGAAAGAAACAAACAAAAAGATAATTAACGGTATGATAAGGAAACAAATAACAACTTACACACGAATCATCCGACCACCGGATCACGTGATACTAATTAAGGTTTCCACGCAAATCCTCCATATTGTGTGTGAATATGCAAATTGACCGCGGCTAGGCCTACGTAGGGGCTTTGAATGGGCCTATGCAGGAACAGTATGGATCAGAATAAATGTATTTCTGACGTAGATATATTTCAAAAGCGGATATATACGTATTGTGAAGATAATCATTTTAATTCATTTTTTTTTTTTAATTTGGGGCTTTGCTTTCTGTTTCTTTAAATCTTTTGGAAATATGAAGTATATGTACTAAATAATGATGATTAAAAGCCACGAATAGTGATGAAAATATGGAAATGGTGACAATATTGGTATTGACAATGATGATCATGGTAATAATAATAATAATAATAATAATAATAATAATAATAATAATAGTAATAATAATAATAATGATAATGATAATGATAATGATAATGATAATGATAATTTGTTTAATGATATTGATGATGGTACTGCTAATAGCAATAAAGATCGTGATGAAAATAGTAATAATGGTATTAATGATGATGATAATAATGGTGACAATAATAACAGTGATGATTAGAATAATGATAAAAGTAATAGTAATAATGATAAAAGCTCTGATACTAATAGTAACAATGATGATAGTGATAATAGTAATAGTAATAATGATAATAGTGATAATAGTAATAGTAATAATGATAATAGTGATAATAGTAATAGTAATAATGATAATAGTAATAGTAATAGTAATAATGATAATAGTAATAGCAATAATGATAATAGTAATTGCAATAGTGATAATAGAAATGATAATGATAAGAATAAGATCACCATCACCATCCCTACAACCACCATCACAATCACCATCACCATCAAAATGATACTGATAAAAACAACAAGAAATAAACCATCTTAAAGTGACTTCCTATATTCCAACATAACATACTGAAGACGCCAAGTCACCATAGTCGGCGCGAACAATGGTGTTATGGTGTCACGTGAATAGACGCTTAATGATGAAGGGCGTGGAGGGAGGGGGGGGAGGAGGGGTGGGGGAGGGAAGGGATGGGGAAAGAGGGAGAGGGTGAGGAGGGAGGAGAGTGAGGGGGGGAAGGGGGGAGAGGGAGGGAGGAGGAGGGTGAGGGGGAGAGGGAGGAGGAGGGTGAGGAGGGAGGGAGGAGAGTGGGGAGAGGGAAGGGGGGGGGAGGGAGCATGGGGGAGAGGGAGGGAGCATGGGGGGAGGGAGGGAGATGGGGGTGAGGGAGGGGAAATGAGGGAGGGAGAATGAGAGAGGAGGGAGAAGAGGGGGGAGGAGAAGGGAGTGAGGGAGAATGGGAGTGAGGGAGAATGGAGGGAAGAATGGGAGTGAGGGAGAATGGAGTGAGGAGAATGGAGTGAGGGAGAAGGAGAGGGGAGAGAGAGAGAGAGAAGAGAGAGAGAGAGAGAGAGAGAGAGAGAGAGAGAGAGAGAGAGAGAGAGAGAGAGAGAGAGAGAGAGAGAGAGAGAAGAGCAAGAACGAAAAGAATGAGAGAGAGAGAATAAAACCAAGGATACCAGACAAAAACAAAACAACAACAACAACAGTAACACGAATTAGAACCGGAACAATCAAGTCAAAACAAATGACCCACCATTTTCTCAAAAAAAAAAACACCCGCCCCATGCATCACAATTTTCATAAAAGGCACCTTGATCAGACCTAATAGATGTACCGCAGTCAATAATCAGCCTAGCAGGTCCCAGAGCGGTGCCATTCATCATTTAGCCACATCAAGGTGCACTTAGACTAAACCCGCCATTAGGAAATTCCCCCCCCCCCCCGCCATTTTTGATATGATCAACAGAAAACGGGATCGCGAGGGGAGACTAAATTAAATGGAGAATGTGGTAATGGTTGTTCATGTTAATGGGGTAGTTCGTGTCTTTTAGGTTGAAGGTCGTATGTACGTGTGATAGAGTTGATGTTAAATGAAGTTTATATATAAATCATTTATGTACATGTAGCTTATATCTCGTTTGAAACTATAACTGTTGTGATATTGTATTTACTAACCATGATAATTTAATATGATATGACTAACCATAATGAATCAATTTGATAATAAACAGTGAATCATTGATATCAAGTCCGGAAAAAATGACTTTCAGGTTTAACAAAGAAATTAGTTGCGTACTTGTCATTATTTATCAGACATAGGCTACCATTAAGATAATTACCTATATCTCAAACTGAAACAAAAATGTAAAAGTAATTTTAACTCTAAATACACACGTCTGTTGAGATCGATATTGATTCAACATTTAAAAGATGCATTGATTATGATTGTAAAGATGTATGGACACCACCAAACGTTTATTTACGTTTTTCCTATTTTGTTTAGAAGCGGATCAGTGGAACCAAACTTAGATTATGATTATTCAGAGTAAATGATGATAACTATAAATGAATGGTTTATTTACCAAACTTAGATTATGATTATTCAGAGTAAATGATGATAACTATAAATGAATGGATTATTTATTTGAATGTTAACAGTTCAATGGGGGAAAGAAATAAATCATTTTGTCCTCGCAGTTTTTCATCAGAAAGAAACGTTACTTCGCCCGGAACAAAAATATGTTAAACGTTGGTAAAAAAAATCGTGTTTTGCTATGATATTATTTATTGTATTGCGTGATAGGAGAATTGACATAATTATGGAATCCGTTTGTAATGAATTGTGGTAACAGAATCGGAATCGCGGCTTCATCCAGTGCACAGAGAGTAGAAAAGATTGAGAAAATTTGTTGGGGAAAATGAGACGACACGATTCGCCAGCCACAGTATCTAGATTTTGTTTTATTTTATTTATTTATTTATTGTTATTTTTGGGGGGTTGAGGGTACAGTTTTGGAATTAGGCGAAGGAGATGGTTCTGGCTGTAGGAATAGATTAGGAAGGGAATTAAAAGTGAAAGTTATGCGTAAGAAAAGAAAAATCGAGAAAGAAGGGATGGGTCGATTACTTTTGTCAAAAATAACGGAAAAATTCTGGGGATTTTTTTTTTTTTTTTTTTTTTGGGGGGGGGAAGTAACGGTGTCGTTTCTGTCTCATGTTTAATCATGTTCATCATAATTATTGATATTTTTTAGTAGGTAAAGAGAGAGTGTAATGTTGAGTTTAGCTTAGGATTTGATTAATCTAAGAGAGAATATTGCATTTCTTTATCACAATGTTCATTTTTAAGACTTGCATTGTGAAATCCTACCCAGAGACATACATAAAAGAATGGAAGAAGAAATGAGAACACATATTTATGTATATTTCCTTATCTATCTATTACCTGTTCATTAACGTGCATGAATCTGTAGCACAAATCATTTTTTAAACAAAAATTGATAAACTGTTGATATTTTCAGAGTCCAACACATTTTTAAAACATTTTACTTTTTATGACTTATCAAACATTCTTAGATTATACGCACATCAACATTTCACTATTACACGTACATATGTATAGTCACGCTCTTGTACACACGAAATAGGCCTACATAACCACATGCAGTGTAGTCACAATTCATCATTACGTACACGCACACACACTCGCTCTCGTACACATGAAATAAACCTACATAACCACATATCCAATATAGTAACAATTCAGCATTACGTATACGCACATATACTCGCTCTTCTACACATGAAATAGACCTACATAACCGCACATACAACAGTCACATTTCACCATCACATACGCACACACACTCTCGCTCTTCTACACATGAAATAGACCTACATAACCACACATACAAGTCACATATCACCATCACATGCGCACACATACTCTCACTCTTGTACACACACGAAATACACCTACATAACCACACAGATACAACATAAGGACATATTTTCTCGCTCTTGCACACACAAAATAGACCTAAATAACCACATATGCAACATAAGCACGTTTCACCATCACACATACGCACACACACTCTCACTCTCGCACACATGAAATACACCTACATAACCACACAGATACAACATAAGCACATATTTTCTCGCTCTTAGACACGCAAAATAGACCTAAATAACCACATATGCAACATAGTCACATTTCACCATCACACATCACTTTTTTAAAAATCAGTGTCACACATAAGCTCATACTTTCTCGCTCTTATACACACGAAATCAACCTACATAACCACATATGCAACATAGTCACATTCCACCATCACACATCACTTTTTTAAGATCATTGCCACACATAAGCACATATTTTCACGCTCTTACACACACAAAATAGACCTACATAACCACACATACTACATAAGCATCACTTTTTTAAGATCATTGTCACACATGAGCACATATTTTCTCGCTCTCGTTCACATGAAATCAACCTACATAACCACAAATGTACACAAACATACAACATAGCCATGCTGTTCCTTACTCATTCTTTTCTCTTTATTACAGGTGCTGCCCTTCGCTTCAGCCTCATGTCCCTGGCCTACCTGCTGTTGGTGCTGGCCATTCCGCTGCTCCCCGCGCCCACCATACACACCATGAGAGGTGAGGAAAATGAGGCATAAAGGTGGGGGTGGGGGAAATGAGGCAAAGTGGGGGTGAGGAAAATGAGTCAGATAGGGAGGTACAGATGCGTTAGGGAGGTGGGTATGAGGAAAATGAGTCAGATAGGGAGGTACAGATGAGTCAGGAAGGTTGGGGTGGGGGAAATGAGTCAGATAGGGAGGTATAAATGAGTCAGGAAGGTAGGGGTGAGGAAAATGAGTCAGATAGGGAGGTACAGATGAGTCAAGAAGGTGGGGGTGAGGAAAATGAGGCAAAAAGGTTGAGGTATAGAGGAGTCAAAGAGGTGGGGGAGGAAAATGAGACAAAAAGGTTGTGGGGACAGATGAGTCAAGGAGGTGGGGGTGAGGAAAATGAGTCAAGGAGGTTGAGGGGACAGATGAGTCAAGAAGGTGGGGTGAGGAAAATAAGTCAGATGGGGAGGTAAAGATGAGTCAGATGGGGAGGTAAGCATGAATCAAGATGAAATAAGGATGAGAGGGGAGGGTAAAGGAAGGGTGAATGAGACAGGTGAAGTAAAGAAACATGAGGCTAGTGATGTATGGATGAGTGAAGCCAGTGAAGTAAGGATGAACCTGAAAGATAAGATAAATGACTCAAGAAGGTGGTAAAGATTCATCAAGGTGAGTTAAGGGTGAGTGAGACAAGTGAAGTAAGAATGAGGGAGACTGGTGAAGTAAGAACGAGTCAAGGTGAAGTAAGGATGAGGGAGAATGGTGAAGTAAAGCTTGAATGAGGTAAATATGACAGGTGAGGTAAATATCAGTGAGGTAAAGATGAGTCTGGAAGGTGAAACAAGGATGGGACTGGTGAGGTAAGAGTGAGTAAGAGATAAGGTAAGGATGAGTCATGAAAGTGAAGTAAAAATGAGTGAGGCTAAGATGCGTGTGACCGGTGAAGCAAGGACAGATGAAGCAATAAATTAATAAGAATAAGAGATTAACGTGGTAGGAATAAGGTTGAGTCAGAGAAGTGAGTACAGAATGAGTAATAGATAAAATGATAAAAGGATGAGTGAAAGGCATGAGGTAAGAGTGAGTTAAGAGAATGAGGTGAGGATAAGTAAAGTGAAGATAAAGATAAGATAAGTGAAGCCATGGTGAGTGAAATAAATAAAGAATTCAGGATAGCTGAGTGAGTTGAGTGAGAGATGAAGCAAGAGTGAGTTAAAGAGCTGAGCAGACGATAATCCACAGGGCTGAGGCAAGAAGTGAAGCATGGGTTAATAAAAGACATGAAGCAAGAGGAAATGAAACATATGGAATAAAGACAAATAGATCAATCAATAAAAGATAACTGAAAAAATGTTAAAACGAGAACGAATGAAGGAATTGAAGCAAAGTAGACTGAAGCAAGAAAATGAAACAAGATGGAATCAAGTGATTGAAGGAAGGACGAATATAAGAAATAAACCAAGAACGAAGTAAATAGTAGAATCAAGCATGAGTAAAAAGAGGGTAAGGGAGGAGGAAGAATTGAAGCAATGACGAATAAAAAGGTAAATGAAGCAAGGACGAAGTAAATAGTAGAAGCAAGCATGAGTAAAATGAGGATAAGGGAGGAGGAAGAATGAAGCAATGACGAATATAAGAAATAAACCAAGAACGAAGTAAATAATAGAAGCAAGCAAGGGAGGAGGAAGAACTGAAGTAAGGACGAATAAAAAGGTAAATGAAGCAAGAACGAAGTAAATAATAGAAGCAAGCATGAGTAAAAGAGGGTAAGTGAGGAGGAAGAACTGGAGCAATGACGAATAAAAAGGTAAATGAAGCAAGGACCAAGTAAATAATAGAAGCAAGCATGAGTAAAATGAGGGCAAGGGAGGAGGAAGAACTGAAGCAGTGACGAATAAAAAGGTAAATGAAGCAAGAACGAAGTAAATAATAGAAGCAAGCATGAGTAAAATGAGGGCAAGGGAGGAGGAAGAACTGAAGCAGTGACGAATAAAAAGGTAAATGAAGCAAGAACGAAATAAATAGTAGAAGCAAGCATGACTAAAAAGAGGGCAAATAAGGAGGGAGAACTGAAGCAGTAACGAATAAAAAGGTAAATGAAGCAAGAACTAAGTAAATAATAGAAGCAAGCATGAGTAAAAAGAGGGCAAGGGAGGAGGAAGAACTGAAGCAAGGACGAATAAAAAGGTAAATGAAGCAAGAACGAAGTAAATAATAGAAGCAAGCATGAGTAAAAGAGGGCAAGGGAGGGGGGAGAGAACTGAAGCAATGACGAATAAAAGGTAAATGAAGCAAGGACGAAGTAAATAATAGAAGCAAGCATGAGTAAAAGAGGGTAAGTGAGGAGGAAGAACTGAAGCAGTGGCGAATAAAAAGGTAAATGAAGCAAGGACGAAGTAAATGATAGAAGCAAGCATGAGTAAAAGAGGGTAAGTGAGGAGGAAGAACTGAAGCACTGGCGAATAAAAAGGTAAATGAAGCAAGAACGAAGTAAATAATAGAAGCAAGCAAGGGAGGAAGAAGAACTGGAGCAAGGACGAATAAAAGGGTAAACGAAGCAAGAGCGAAGCAAGGGGCTGAGTCAGCGATGAGTGAGGGGCGTGGGTCGTGGGTGAATCAGGGGGAATTTCGACCCATTAGCGCTGATCTAAATAGTAATAGCGCTTTACTCTCCTTCGTTTTATTCATGAGTGAGTCGTGGATCTTGCATTGGGTGAGTCAGCGTTCCTGTTCTGAGATTCTGGTGTCATTTGGATGTGTTTTTTGAGCTGTTTTTCTTGTTTTTCTTGTTTTTGGCATTGTTTTTATGTTTTTTTTTTTTTTTATTTTTTTTTTTTATTGTTTTTTGTTTTTCTTGTTTTTTATTGTTTTCTTTTTTTGTTGTTTTTTGTTATTGTTTTTTGTTTTTTATTGTTTTTTGTGTTTTGTTATTGTTTTTCTTATTGTTTCAATTCGTGTTATTGTATGTGTCATTGTTCTATATTTTTTTATTTTGATTGCTTGCAGTACTGTTATTATTATTGCTAATTTGTATCATCATGATTAATTATCATCATCATCATTACCATCACCACCAATCCCCACCATCTACCATCTCCCATCTTCATATCCCCTCACCCCCCACCACCCCCCACCCCACCCCCACCCTCCCCCTCTCCATCATTACACCCACCCACACCTTCCCTTGCAATCATACTATCCAAATATCTACTCGTATCCCCCCAACTCAAACGCCTCTCTCTTCCATCTAGCTACCCCATCATCTTCCTGTTCACCCCCCCACTCTCTCTCTCCCTCTCCCGTACCCCTCACCATCCGCCCTCCTCCCTCTCCCTTCTCCCCCATCCTCCACCCCCTCACCCCTCCGTCTCCCCACCTTCCCCCTATCACCACCCCTACCCAACTCACCCCCTGGTCCCCTCCCTCTCTCCCCCACCAGGTCACACCGGGCGCTACCTGAAAGCAGTGGCGGGGATAAGCGTGGTCAACTTCCTTCTGCAGTTCACCTTCCAGATCGTCCTGCTGAGCCTGCCTCCCTACGCCTATTTCTTGGAGGAATGTAAGTATATGAATGTAATTATGTAAAAAATATCTAAAAAAGAGATATAAAGTATTTAAAAGAAATATATAGAAAATAAGAGAAAATATATTAAAAAATATATAAAACTCGAGCAGGTTAAGAAGAAAGGAAAGGATTCTGAAAATAAATTCTATGTAGAAAATAAAAGAAATATATGATGAATATATAAAACTCGAGCAGGTTAAGAAGAAAGGAAAGGAGACTGAAAATAAATTCATGATGGAGTAGATTTCGTGTTCTTTAAACTTCGCTCAAAATGTTTACAAACTCGTTAGCAGAAGTCGCTCGATTTAAAAAAACTCTGCGGACTTTGCTCGCCACTTTTCACTATAAATCTTTCGGACAAAACTGTTTTCGGTTGGAATAGAGTGCAGTTGGGATGTAATATAGGAATATACTTAATTTGTTGTTGTCGCCTATGAATTAATCCAATTATATGTTCTCTTATTCTTGAATTAATTTGAGAGACCTGTTGTTTATGAATGACTGAATTATTTTTTTTTTATGATGACAGGAATGACTAAAATCATCCCAGTGAAAATAGGATTTTAGCGATAATAGTGATGATGAAAATGATGATGATGACGAACATGGGGATAATGATTATAATGATAAGAATTATGATAATGATTATTATGACTATGGGGATGATAATGATAGAAATAATCATAATGATGATAATGATGATGACCATGGCAATATTGATGATGACTATAACGAAAATGATAATGATGACATAGGCGATAATGATGTTGACTATCACGAAAAGAATAATGATGATCTAGGCGATAATAATGATGATAACCAAGACAATTATAATGAAGATGACCAAGACAACAATAATGATGCTAACATTGACCATAAAGATAATCATAATGATGACTCTCACCCGAAAACCCGGTACAGTAATAATAATGATAACGCTGACCATAACGATAACCATAATGATGATGACTCTCACCCCAAAACTCCCCCTCCAACCCCCCCCCTCCCCCCTCCAGGCAGTTTCCTGGAGGAGCTCATGCGGCACCTGGGCTTCGTGCGTCTCGACGGCATCAGCGAAGTGGACGGCACGAGGTGGCTCCTCCCCGAGTGCATCCTGCTGGTCTTCTCCCCCACCGTGTACTTCGCCTGCCTCAAGCTCACCGCCCACGCGAGCCCGGATTTCCACCTGCCCGCCCACAACGCGTCCAACACCCAGAAGAACTTGGGGCTGCGGATCCTCAATGCTGTGGGTACGTGGTGGGGAAAGGGGGAGAGAGGAGGGAGGAGGAAGGGGTGTCAGGGGGGTATTCTTTGGATCCTCAATGCTGTGGGTAGGTGTGGGTAGGGGAGAGGAGGAGGGAAGGGAAGGGTGTCAGGGGGGTATTCTTTGGATCCTCAATGCTGTGGGTACGTGGTGGGGTAGGGGAG